TGCTGGTTATCCATCACAAATGGGATACCTTGGCCCGTACAGACGTGAACGCTATCATCTCCCAGACTTTAATCGTCACCCAGGATTTACAAATCAGAATGAGGCCTTCAATTATTATCATTCAAGTTTGAGATCCGCTATTGAAAGAACTTTTGGGGTGTGGAAGAAAAGGTTTGTAATCTTAAAAAATATGCCCAGATTCAAGTTTCAAACACAGGTCTGCATAGTTTGTGCAACAATGGCTGTCCATAATTTTATCAGGCAAAATTCTCCAACTGATGATCACTTTGTAGAAGCTGAACATGGAAGTGTAATAGATGAAGACAATAATCATGCAGCTGGTGAGGCATCCTCGTCAAGTTTAACATCTGCCGCACAAATGAATCGTGTTCGTGACTCAATTAGGGACCAAATTGTGCAAAGCTTACTATCTAATTAGTTATGTGATTTCATTTACTTTAATTAGAGACCAAATGAATTTTAATTTATATTCATGTTTGTCCATTATGTATACTTCATTAATTATCTATGATGTGTTTTTAATTTTTTTCTCCGTAATAAATATTTTTATTTCATAATTTCACAAATAAACTATTTATGTTTTATCATAATAATTTTATACTTTTTTTAAAACTATTATCAAATTAAAAACATAAAATTTTAAAAACTACTATTCAATAAAATCCATACCCTTTTTAGTCATTTTACACCTAAACTAACTTTTTCATTCATCATCCAAACAACTTTCAGCTTTTTCAACTGACTTTTCAAAAGCACCTATCCAAACATACTCTAACTGACTTTTACTCTAACTTCAGTTACAAAAGTCAGTTGAGCTAGAAGTCAGTTTTGCCCAACGCCAATCCAAACATACCCTTAGACGGTGGCTTCTTTTTGGGGTCTTGATAGTAACATCTTGTTGTTCAGGGGTTATTGTTAAGACATACTATGATCATTTGGAAAGTGCGCATTGTTGTTCAGGGCACATTGTTATGACGCCTAGACTTTTAAGTTGCATTTTTTTTATAAGATTAAACTCACTCTTCAGCTTCCATACTTTTAACGAGTTTTTATTTTGATTTCTATATTTTTGACGAGTTTTGGTTTTGATTTCTACAAAAAATTACATTAATCATCAATTCACATTAGCCTACTTTATAGCGTTAACGCCACATTTCAGCGAAGTGAACACTGTCAGCCATAGATTTAGGTCCTTATAAAATTTCAAAGAACCAATGTTTTTTTTTTTTACCCCAAAATAGAGACTAAAAGCAATTACAGGAACCAACGTTCTTAACACGTATATTTTGTATTTGGTTGGCTGCTTGTGACATCTAATACATGTTGGTCTCAATTGGATATAATGGATGAACGAAAATGTTGATAAACAAATTACAAAATTTGCAAAACAATTAATAATAAATTATTTTATGATTTTAATCAAAATCAAAATAATTTTATTATTCATAATATAAAACATCTTAACATCCATAACTTACTATGAAATTTTCAAATTATTTTTTTATAAAAAATTCAAATTAATTGACAGTAATTTAATTTTGAAGTTTGAAATCCAGGCTTTTTTTTTTTATTAATTTCACTGCTTCTAACGTTAAAATTATAGAAAAGATAAAATTTCGTCTATCTTTTAGGAAAATTTTGTATATAAAATTTAGAAAAAATTCATCTTTTAGTCTATCAAATTTCACTTACTACTTATGGTCCTAACTATAAAATCTCATTTATAGACTACAAACAGGGTCTTATAATTAGAATCGGAAGTAGTATAATTAACATAGTATTGAAGGTAGTATAATTAATATAGTCTCTCAACTATGACTCATTGCAACTTATTCCCTAAATTTTTATCTCGCCCATAACACAATGCCTAATCTTTTACATTTAATAACTTAATTTTACTTCTTAGCATATATAACTTATTTTGAGTCATCAAATTATAACTATCCTACATGGCAAAAAATTACCTAACACTACTAAAATGCACACATTCTTTCTAAATTTCTCTCATGTTTTTCTCACAGCTCATTTTTTCAAGAGAAACTTCGAGAGAAAACAAAAATTAATATAGAAAATCCAATTAAAATTCCCAGAGAAGTTCTCTTGATATTTTTCTCAACAAAAAGTTCTAAGAAAAAAACTTTGTTTTTTATTTTGTTGTGGTTATGGCTATGACTACTTAATCAATACTATTCCTTTTGAAAATCAAACAAAACATTGTGGCTCCGGCTTGAGGGGATTGTTATTTCCGTTGCAATGCTCCCAAGAACATCGCTTCACTAGACGTCCCGTTGACATGATACCAAGAATATCTCTCCCCCCAACCTTCTGCAACTACCATTCGAATGCATCTAACTAACTAACAATCACTTTCAGAATATGAACACGTGTCCACTTTAGCTATTTCTTGGTCTTGCTAGCTAGTTATTGGAGGAACATTGCCTCGGAATAATCACATATTGTTCAATCTCAGACAACAATTTGGTGATCTGCTCAATCTACTTTCTACGACAATCATGGGGTCTCACGTCAGATCAGGAAAGCTTGTTTTTGATTCTTTTCGAAGCTGCTCTTCGAGGTTCATGCCCAACGCCCAAATTTTGATAACCAACAAAAGGATTTCCCAGTTTGAACAGTTACTGGTTCCTGCATGGAATAGAGCCAAGTTTCATATTAGGACTCCATCTTATCACTCTCTCGTATCGCAGAAAGCCAACAAGAACTTATTGTCTAATCCATTTCTCAATGAGGCTAGGAGATTTTACTATGTGGATCAGTACAATAATGTGCAGCAGCAACATCGTAGGCCACGAGGCCTTATTAGACGGTGGTTTCTTGTTGGTGTCTTGATGATAGTAACATGTTGTTCAGGGTTTATTCTAAAGATATACTATGATCACTTGGAGATTGTTCCCTATCATAAAAGGACTCGTTTAATTCTTTTCTCCGAGTCAACGTTGAAGAAGATTAGAGAGCAGTATGTGAAGAAAAAGAAAGAGCGTTTTGAAGAGAGAATATTGCCCCAGACACAAGCTGAAAGCATACGGGTAAGAAGGATAGCTCAGGACATAATTGATGCATACGAGGATGAGATTAACTGACAAGGGTCACAATTTAGTGCGACGTCACATTTGGATGGATTGAAGAAGTGGGAGGTGTAGTAGTGAGTGGTCATGGAAATTCTGCCTTTACTGCTATAGCAAGTGGTGGGAAGGTTGTGGTGTTTGATTGGATGTTTGAGCATGCCACAAGTGATGCAGAGATGGCATTCCTCATTGGAAGGGAGGTATGGATGTGTGTGTCTATATACATACATACATATATATATATGTGCATATTGTATGCTTGGCTCCTTACATATTCCCTCTCGTACTAAAAGTAGGAGCTAGTTAAGCGATTTGCTCTAATCCTAAATTTAAGACTTGAATTGGATCAGCTTTTTCTTCTAAATTCATCATTTTTTTTGGGTAAAATAGCATCCAACGTCGTGATCATTTTTTATGATGCATTTAGCACTCTTATCTTATCTTTTTGGTAAATCTGGCACCGTAATCTTTTTGATGTAACTAAAAAGTATAATAACATTAGAGTAAGGTCAAGGAGTTGGATACATTATAAAATAGATCATGCACCTGCAAAATAAGATTAGGGTGTTAAATGCTGGAAAATAAGATTAGAATGCTGGAAGCACTTTTACTCCCTTTTTTATCTCTCAACTACTCTTAGTGATATTAATTGCACATATTAATATTACATCGAATACATGTTATGGTCTTTTAGAATGGGCATATTGCGGCTCGACATACTGCTGAAAACTTGACAAGAGCTTATGGGTTCAAGATTCTAGAGTACATACTCAATCCAATTGGCTTGTCAGATGCATTCAAGGATGATTTTGCTAAACGTACCATCACCATGCGTATCTTTTGGATATAAGCTACACACACACACACACTCTTAATTACTAATTAATTGTCAACATCACTTATTAATTGGCTCTGTATGTGACTCTATTAAGCTCCTTGTTTATATATTGGTAGGTTTTATGTGTGCTGAAATAAAATTCTGATTCTGAGTAAGAATATGATATATATATATATATATATATATATATATAGCCCAATTAATTTCATCACAACATTGCAGGCAACAATTAGAAGCAGATTACATCGGGATGCGATTAAGTGCTTTAGCTGGATATGACCCCACGGAGGCCCCGAAATTGTTGGAGAAGACGGACAAGTCGTGGGACGACAACAATATTTCCCACCCACCTCCAAAACTAAGGGCAGAATATCTGTCATATCCTAAGATCATGAACGAACCTCTTTCTATATACTTACGAGGATGTCAAAGTAGAAGTTGAGGTTTATTACAAACTTGTTTGCTTAACTCATTTGGTTGGGAGGCTTTTACTGGAAGGCATGGCTACAATTTAAATTTTTAATTATCATGTCAAAAAAGTATCCTTATTAGTATTTGCTTCAAATTTCATCATGTTCTCAGCCTTGTTTATACAAATGAAATATTCAAAACAATGATGATTATATGATGATTTTGACATAATGTTTTCTTAAGAAAATAAAATAAAAAGGCTAAATTATATGAACACCCTCTAACCGGATCATTGTACTTTCATCTCTTACTGGTTTCTTGTGATTGCATAAGCACTCTTATAAACATCACTTCAGAATATAGAATTAATATATGAGGTTTTTTCTTAAACCCCCTTATAAATAATATGATAATATCAGATTCAGAAAAACTATCCAAAATAAAAATCCTCAATCAAAGTAAGCATCACAATTATAACGACAATTGCAGACCAATCAGCCTGATTGAAACCAAATGGACTTTTACATTTTAATGCCAATGTTCATGGCACAAATTCCAATAACAATTCTTCCTACTTCAAATAAAGAGCTAATTGTGTCACAAAATATTCTCTCTTCAAATTTGCAAACAGCATATAAACAGCGTCCATTAGAATCTCAATAGCTACAGAATGCTGGCTGATCTGTTTAATATATGCAGAACACACAACTACCAGTCAAAATTAAATTAGATTCCAAAATGCTTATAAAGCTAAATCAGAAAGAATCAGCAATACTTATCCATGGAGTATGGGAAGAATCAGCACACAACTTTCCAAAATTAATTTGGATTCAAAATTTAGAAATTGGAAGTATAGAACAAGATCGGAAAGAATCAACAATAAGAGTAGCTGCCAATTAATTCGTTCAGGAGGACAAAAGTTTAATCCTTTGTGCCCATGTCCAGCAATGATCAACTGTCCAGATTAACAAGAATTGTAGGCATCTATGTTCCTGTATGCCCATCTCCAGAAAAAGTTATTCTCTTAGTTAACCTTCCCTTCCCTGTGTATATCATCAGAGACGTGTGAGCATGTTGCTTCTGAGAAAATTCAAAAGGAAAACTGAAGGACAAAACCAAAAGGATATCAGAATACTCCCTTTCCTTCACCATTGTAGACGTGGGTTTCCAAACGGAAAACTCTTTACCGGAAAGTATAAGGCATGGGTGAGCAACGTATGAAATCCAAAGCATTTTCTTGAGAAGACGATAAAAAGTGAGGTTGTGGAGGCAACGGACGACGGACCAGCCGAAGGGAAGAATGGAGCAGAGGAAGAGACTATCTCAGAAGAACATGTCGTTTGAAAATTTGAATTTTGAATTTGAATTGGTGTGAAGCGATTAGGAGGACAAAAATTTGAATTTGTCAGATAAAGTGGAGGTGATCCTGGTCTTCTTCATTCTGCTTTTCACTCCTGCTGTTTTGGGTTACTCTCCCTGCTTCTTTCTCAGCCATTTTTTAATCTTTCCTGAAATTAGAAAAGATGCTATTAGAAAGAATGGAGAGTTTTTTCCTAATTGGGATAGAGGTAGGGGTCGGGGAAGGGAAGGGAAAAGCTGAAGAGATAAAGAGGGGCATGTGGTATATTTAATTTAAAAGAGATCAGAAGAGTAACACTCAACATCTTCATCGCTGAGCATTTCTTTGTCTCTTCCATTTTAGCATTCTCCTCCATCGCATTGAACCCTAGGCGTGAGACATCTTAGAGATATCATCAAACGCCTAACTGCCTAACTCATCTACCCCCGAATTCCGAGTTCTCCTCACCTTCGCCGTCGTGGTCCTCAGTCTATAAGTCGTGCAGCTCGGCCATTCCCTCAGTTCGTGGTGCTCGACTGCTCGTCGCCGTCTCCACTGTGTGTAGCTCGGCTGCGTTTCAGTTCATGGTTGGTCCATATGGCTTCTTTCATTCTGGATTTTCGGTAGGCTCCCCCCCCCCAAAAAAAAAAAAGCCGGTGGATATATATACATATATATTTCTCCTTATATTGTGCTAGTTTAATTCAGTAATGTATGTGTTGTAGCTTTATGTCGGTCATTTGCTCCTACCAAGTCGATGTAGCTCTTCTTGGGGCAGAACAGATGTGAAAAAGAGAGAGAGAGCGTTTTAGTAGAACTTGTTAGGTTTTGATGAACTAACATGCTATGTTGCATGTTTCTGAATTACTGCATCATATTTTTTACTAGATGAAGGAATTCTTATTTTTAATGCCCCAATTTGCTATTCTTTTGGTGGTAACACAAGTATTGGAGTTGGTTTTATATCCATTTTGATATCCTGTTAAATCCGCCTGTCCTAAACAGTACACCATTTTGAGATTTTAAAGCCAAAATATATCGTGGAACCTCTAACAGAACCTATTTATGTATATGCAAGGATGGATATTTACAAGTGAGCATTTAGCACCAATTAATAATCTTTGATGATTCATTTATTTTTTTTAAAAAAAATTCCCATTCACACCATAACTGATAAATACTAACCACAAAACTTTCCTGGTTCTTTCTAATCTTCAGAACTTGGAGAGTTGTCTTTTTTGTTCTTCCCCCTCTCCAGAACTTGGGGGGTTGTCTTTTTTGTTCTTTCCCCTTATTTCTCGCAAGAAACCTCTTTGGACCATTTCTGCAATTTGTCTCAAATTTCTTATGTTCTCTTGTAGATACACGGTGGAAATCAGTTTAAATCTATTTTCCTCTTCAGGTACATGCTTGCAAAAGGTCTTGGCATTGTTTTATCTATTTGCCTATTGGAAGCTTGTTTAAATATTCATTTCTTTGTATATTGATCTGTAGACTTTTAAACTGTACTTATTTCCAAACAGCTACAGTGCTCTGTATTAATGTAGAAAAGTTCAAAATACAAATGCGAAGATAGAGATATCTGAGAGCACACTTCGTCAGTTTGGGTGTGGAAGTGGGATTTTCCCCTTATACATGCATTTATGTTCCTGTACTACTTTCAGCTTTGGGATGTGCTATGGCCCCTAGAAGGGAAACGGCAGAGGTTATTCTTCCTATTGGGATTGGGACTAATTCTGGAGCTGGACGTTGAGGGTATTAGAACACTCTTACCTGATTGGTATGATCAATCTTCTCTCATTTGTGATTGACATCTTGAAATTTGATTTATAAAGTTTTCCCTATGTATGATGTGGTTGGGATCCGGTTCATCATTTTGTAGGTAGAAAATTAAACATATGTCAAGGGCTCAGGTAAAGCCTCTACTATATCTGTAGAATGTATTTGTCTTGACTTCAGTATGTAAAATCATCTATTTTCTTCTTCAGAGAAAATCTATTGCTAGTGCTCTTGGCATGTCATGTCAAATATCTATAACAAGTTTGACAGTGTTGTGGAGATTCCATCCTTTTTTCATGTATGTTTCAAAATTTTCCTAGGGGAAACTGAATCTTTATTTCTGTAGGGGATGAATTAAAATTACCTTCAATTTATATTTCCTTTCTCAGTAATATCATACAGAGTCAACTTGTAATCCTTTGTTTTGCTGAGCCTTATATAAGTCATGGCAGATTCTTTGATCATCTTGATATTAATCACTTAGACTTACGTCCTCACTACTAAGAGTTGTCTTTACTTTATTCAAGTATTGAAGTCCCTAGGGACTAGTACGGGATTATATTTTGTACCAAAATTATCTTAATGCTCTAAATTGGAAAAAAATGAAATAACAAGCATAGTTTAAGAGTAATAGTTTTAACATAATAAATGAGAACAACTATTAAGAGGACTTCGCTGATGGTGAGATCTCTTAACATGTTGTTTGACGACTTCCCTGATCCCTTTTTCCTACCTGAGACGCCTATTCTTCCTTTTTCCTTAAGCACAATATCCTCTTCATGAAAATGATGCATATCAGGTTTCATTTCTTACGTCAAGAAACACATATTGTTCAATCTCAGATAAGAATTTGGTGATCTGCTCAATTTACATTCTACGATCATGGGGTCGCACGGAAAAAGATCAGGGAAACTCGTCTTCGATTCATTTCGAAGTTGCTCTTGGAGGATTATGCCCAAAACTGAAATTCTACTATCCAATAGAAGATTTTCCCAGTTTGAACACTTGATGGTTCCTGCATGGAATAGAGCTAAACTTCATATTGGGATTTCATCACACTCTCCTATATCACAAAGACTACGCTTACAGGGTAGGGTCAACAGGAACTTGGGTAATCCATTTCTCAATGAGGCGAGGAGATTTTACTCTGTGAATCAGTATGATAATGTGAAGCAACGGCGTAAGTCACGAGGTCTTAGATGGTGGTTTCGTTTCAGTGTGTTGACAGTAACATGCTGTTCATGTGTTATTGTCAAGACATTCTATGATCATTTGCACGTTGTTCCCTATTACAACAGAACACGTTTAATTCTCTTCTCCGAGTCTGCGTTGAGGAGGCTCACAGAGATGCAGTTCATGGAAAAGAAAAAGTCTTTTGAAGGGAAAATATTACCTGATACTCATCTTGAAACCATACGGGTAAGAAGGATAGCCCGGGACATAATTGGGGCATGCGAAGAAGAGATTCAACGACAGGGGTCACAACTTAGTACTACGTCACATTTGGATGGATTGGACTGGGAGGTGCTAGTGGTGACTGGTTATGGACATTCCTTTGCTACGGTGTGTGGGAAGATTGTGTTGTTTGATTGGATGCTTGAACATGTCACAAGTGATGCAGAGATAGCATTCCTCATCGGACGTGAGGTAGGTGTGTGTGTGTGCATGTGTGCTCGGAATATAATTTGTTGGCTTCTTGATTATATGATTACAAACGAGATCTTATATTCAGAACTAAAGATAAAATTTCGATATTGTGTTTGCTATTTGTGACTTTGAACTCTAACATATGTTCTGCTCTTTTAGATTGGGCATATTGTGGCTCAACATTATGCTGAAAACTTGACAATATCTTATTGCATCAAGATTCTAAAGGCCATACTCAATCCAATTGGCTTATGGCATGCAGTCAGGAATAAATATGGCCCTCCTGTCATTCATATCTTATTGGCGTAAGCTATATTCACTCTCAACTACTAATTAACGTTCAACACCTTTTATGTCTTTATTAAAACTGCATGCTTGTTTACTCCTGGGTTTGATTTGCTGAGATAAAATTCTCATTCTAGGAACGTAACATGGCCATTTTGTGATGCAGTGCAATATAATTGTACCATTTCACCCTTTCACAACTTGCAGGCAAGAATTTGAAGCAGATTACATCGGGATACGTTTAAGTGCTTCAGCTGGATACGATCCCAGGGAGGCTCCAAAATTCTTGGAGAAGATAGACCAGTTTTGGGTTGCCAACATAGACAAGTTTTGGGTTGCCAACATTGTGTCCCCAACTCCAGAAAGGAGGGCAGAATATCTATCATCTCGTAAGAACATGTGGCAACCTCTTTCTATATACTTACGAGGATGTTTAAAGCAGGACAAATGAGGTTTACCTCCTTGGTTGGTTAGGGGGAGGGTTTGGAAAGAAGGGCTTTGGAGGGGATGACTGCAATTTAAATCATTTTAATTCTGTGATCAGAATAACTTTATTATTTGCTTGAAATTTCGTCATGCTCAATCTTGTTACTACTAATGTTGGAAACAATTACGATGATGTGATGAAGAATTGTAACATCAACTGCTTTTAAAGTAAAAATATTTCATGTTTATGAACAAGAAAAAAGATAAGATTACCCTTATATGCTAGAAAAGAAAAATTCATACAAGAAATGGTGAATTCTGACCCCTTTTTTCCTAAATAAAAAGGGAGAAAAATGAAATGGGAAGTCTGACCATTTTTTAGGATGATCGGTTGGTTTGAAGGCTCAAAAAACCATAAAAAAATTTTAGATTCTGCTAAAACATATTGTTGGACTTGTGTGGTCATAAAACTCAGCAGTTGAGCAATCAGTACCAATTAATGTCTGAAAGAAATGTGACTTCAATTTTATTACATGTCATTTTCTCAGACATTTACGGTCTTCAAGAAGTTTAGAAAAAACATTATGCATGTATTTGATTTTTATTATTTAGTGAATATGGATACACACAGGGAGGATTGGCCGCCATAAATGCTTCTATGGTGCCATTACGTGTTATACTAAAGATTAACAATGATATTTTGGAGAAGACAACAACTAATTATTATAAATAATTAACTCAATTAATTTTTTTAATATACTTTAATTAGTCAATTAGCTCTTATACTAATAATTGAAGACAGTATTTAATTGGAAAATTTTTTTTTAAGTTTTAAAATTTTTATACTCAACCAAAACTCATTCCTTAACTATAGTCAATATAACTTAATTTTTAAATCACTTTCTTAGTCTATGATTTATTCTTTTTCGTACTAGGCAATTTTATTCTTATTCTTTATAATTCATTACGAGTCGTCATTGAGTCATCCTACATGATAAAAAAATGAACATTAAAAATTCCAGTTCAACATGAAGTGTTGCCTTAGGGATCAGAATGTCTTTTCATTAAACAAAGCTAGTCACCGTAATTAGAATCAAAAGTAGTTAATTGCTTACTTTTCACTTGTGAATAAATTTTAAGGTAATTAAATCATATTCTTAAAACTTGACCATAATTCTCTTAATGTTATGAATATAATAATATTTTTGTGGATGTCCATATATCTCCCATTATCTTCTATATTTTTATAATTTCTAATATCTCTCATTATCTCTGTATCTGACAATTATTTACTATTATTATGTAATCTGTAGATTCTATCAAAGGTATAAAGCCGTGCCTATAAATAGAAGCCATGTATAATGTATTTAGAACTCTTAAATAGAATGAGAAATACTTTCTCTTGTTGATCCTCTCTTCCTCTATATGACTCTTTTCTATTTCTTCTTTATTTATAACACGTTATCAGTACAAAACTCTAACCAAGGTGCATATAATATACCTTTCTAACCCAGCAAAATTTTAGAGCATCACTCTATAATTTTTCTAGAGTATCTTTTGCTTTGTTCAAATAAAAATATCTTGAGTATCATTTATATAATATTTTGGAGTATCCGTTTTCCTATTTAATTTATCTAGGATAATCTAAACCATTATATGGATTTAAAAGGATTATCAACTGTTGTTTTAAATATCGGGTTCCATGATTAAAATGGAAGATTATTATTACTTTATATTTGTTCACTACAATTTATTTTTAATATGAATATTATTTTTTTGAATTACTTGTGATATGAGAAATTTGTTTTCTTTTCTTAGTGACATGATGTTACTATCTTCGATGAAACCTGAAGTTTCAGTCGATATTTCTATACATCCCTTAGTGACCTAAAGTCACTAATTTTGATAGAACCAAGAGTTCCAATCAATAATTATAATTATATATGGCTAATGCCAAAATTGAAAGAATTTGAGGGAGTAATAATTATAATATGACTAGAAGTCATATTCAAGCAAATACCCTATGAATATATTTATTGAAAGTAAATGACAAAATTCATTGTGAAGCCAAAAGGTCACAAAATATGGAATAACCCTCAAAAAAATTCAAATGCTGAAAATAAATGCAAAATTTGTTGTGGACCTAAAAGATCACAATATATGAGGATAAACTTTTGGAAAGCTTTAATGCTGACAATAAATATAAATTCAATTGATGCTTGAAATCTCCCTAAAGGATTATCATCTAAAACAAAAGCCATATAATTTTGATTTTCTATATTATGATCACAAGCCATATAACTTTTAACTTTTTATCTTATGACTAGAACCCATATAAATATATATATATATAATTTTATATTTTATTACATGACTAGAAGTTATATAATTTGAATTTTCTATTTTACAGTTAGAAACCATATATATTTAATTTTTTTATTTTATTAAATGGCTAGCAGTTGTATAACTTTGGTTTTTTACCTTATAGCCAGAAGTTATATATATATATATATATATATTTTTTTTTTGATATCTTATTAAATGACTAGAAGTCATACAACTTAGATTTTCTATTTTATGGCCAGAAGTCCTATATATATATATCTAATTTTTTATATCTTATTAAATGACTCGTAGTTATATAACTTTGATTTTCTATCTTATGGCCGAAAGTCATATATATTATTTTTTTGTTATTTTATTAAATGGCTAGATCCCATATAACTTTACATTTCTATCTTATGATCAAAAGCCATATATCTTTGATTTTTTTTATTTTAAAATTAAATGGCTAGATGCCATGTATCTTTAATTTTTTTTAATTAAATGAACTAAAGCCATATAATTTTGATTCTCTGAAAGATCACTATATGATTTGTTTATAAGAAAAAAATTACGGTAATTAGAATTTTTATTTGAAGGCTATAAATATTATAACCCACAAGACTAATGGCTCAAATGTCTTTTATTATGAGAAACTATTTATTATATAGTGAAGGATGTATTGGTACAAAAGTTTACTTTTTCTTCTTATTTCATGTTACATTTATATTTTACTTCTTATTAATTTAAATCTTAAATTTTATCCTTATCTTATTCTCATATATTCTTGACATTAAATTTGATATTTATTAATATTATAATTTCTTATTACTAAATGGTCAACAATCAATACACTCATGTTATTGAATGACATAAAAATAATAACATATGATGCTTTTAAAGCCCGAAGGCTTATGGTTCAAATATTAAGTGACACAAATGATCTTTAAAAATATATATATTTATTATATAGAGCCTTGAAGACTAATAACTTATAAATAGTTCTGAAGGCTTATGATTCAAATATTCATATCTATATAGTTTGATTTTAGTCCTTATAGATCTCTTTCTGTTGAATTTATAAATTTATAAATAAGTTTTAAAATATTACATAATATATACAAAGAAATAAAGTTTTCGAATAACGAAATATTGAGAAAATATATATGTTTTGTTAAAAAAATACTTCATTTTTTGAAAAAACATAACAAAAAGTGAAGTATATCATATAGTGAAATAATAATATATGTTAGTTCCTAAAGAACAATATGTAATAAAAAATTAATACAGTTTTAGAAAAACTAATAACAAAATATTGATATAGTTCCTGAAAAACTGGTAACAAAATCGATATAGTTTTTGAATAACTAATATAATTCCTCCCATTATTTTTGTGGGCAAAAAAAGAAATTGATAATGAAAATCATGACTCACAAATATACATATTAGAATATTTATTTATCAAAGGGTCTTAAGGTGATAGCTTAATTAGATTGAAATCTATTATTATATCTAAATCAGGAAGCATTTAGATTTCTAAGTTAAAGATATGTTATTAACTTACTATATAGTATTCACTCTATTTGAAATACAGAAATAAAAAATATATATTTATGACTCACTTGAGGAGAAGATTGTTAGAATACAAGTGTGAATCATGGTGGATAGAATTTGTTATCATTAATATTATATCATTAGTTACATCTCATATTTCTTTTGAAAAAAGGCTAAGAGTCTATGTCACTCAATCCCCATGAGTGTACAAATTTCTATCACGAGGTAAAAGATAAAAAATATAGCTCTAGAAGAGTTATATCAGAATTTGTTATCCTAAAAATAAAATCTATAATTGATACTCCCCCATCTTAAATATAAGACCCTTTTTATAATGTAAATTATACTATAAAAGGGGTCTTATATTTAGGATTGGAGGAGTAACATATTCCTTGTGAAATATTAAGGTAATAAGAAGTTTACCAATAATTGAGAATAATTTTATAATAAACCATAAATTTATGTATTTATAATTTGGCATGACCGATCAGATCATCTCGGATCATAATAATACAAAATATCATGAAAAAAATGTGCATTATCATTTATTAAAGAACTAGAAGATTCTTTAAAAATGATATATGATTCAAGAATTTTTATTTACTATTTGTTCTCAAAAGAACTAAATAAGAGAACATCACTAGCTGTACTCAAAATCGGATCTGTGCAGATTTATAATTATCAAATTTATATATGGGTCCATTTAGACACCATGTGGATCAAAGTAATACTTTATAAGTGAAAAATGCATTTATAAAATAGTCACAGGTGTTTATGATCAACTTGCAACCTGAAATTTGCAAATATGTCCAAATAATTACATTGAGTACATAAGTTCCTGATTATGAAATCAATATGATTCTCGTTGAGATTGCTAGTGATTGTTCCTCACGTTGCTGATAATTATATGCTTAGTAAAAGCCTCCATAAATAGTTAGACCAGAGTTTATGAGAATAAAATTCTCATTTGAGTGTTGGGATGATTGATTTTATATATTTTTGCACATAAATACATCAAGCCAACAATATATTGTGAATTCTCCCATTATAATTTGCTTTTGGTCAGGAGCCAAATATTTTTCATCTTAGAATGTGCAATATCTATTATTGCACCGCAATAATGCACATAGATGGATATTAAAAGTAAGTTGGGATTACTGTTGGATAAGAATCTCTTTATTCTTGTGTTGTCTCTAAATGAAACAAAATAATATTTCTAAAGGAGATTTATGGATTTAGGAGACCTATACTGCATGTTCCCAATATGAGGGGGAGAAAATATAACTGGAAAAGAAAACACATAAAATATATTTTTACTATCAAATGTAGATCTTCAAATATAGTAGTATGAACTAGAAGTTCATAAAGTATTGCGTTCATAAAATATTATTAATATCTGTTAGATGCAATTACCGATTCAAATGAGAATTTTTAATTCTTAAATTTCAATTAAAAGTGCTCCTATTCTTGAAGACATGCTAAAAACATGAGAGTATGATCAGTTTTTTGAAAGAAAAAAAGAGAGCAAATGATCATGATGGTTATACTAAAGAGGCATGAATTGCAAAAGAAGTTAAGGCATAACTATTTGACCCTGAAGAGGTTTAAGTGTCTGAAAGTAATGAAGAGATCTTGATATGTTATGTCATAAAAGAAAAAGGGACTAATAAAAGAATAAAATTGTTGATAATAATTTTATTGATGATATTACATGATCCAATGAGGATATTATATATAAATCTGTCATGACATATAGATAGAAAAACGGTTGGCCAACAGAAAAGAAAAAAACGCAATAGAACAGGGATTTGTGTATCCCTAGCTCACGTACTTAAAGTGTTATGCTAGTATCATGTAAATAGGCACTTGCATAATAAAGAGTCCTGTGGTAGATTAAATTACATGTCTTTTCAATCTTACAGTCTGATAATAAATGAAGTTTTTTCATGTGCGTCTTAGAAATATATAACTGTAACGTATAATTCACTTTATAGTGAAATTATATGTAAATCCCAGAAAGATTCAAATCCCTGTATAAATTCAAATGATCCGACACATGAATATATTTGGATCATAGTGTATAAAAATCCTTGAAGGATTTAAGTTTCTAGAAACGTATAATTATGTTCTCAAGAATACTATTCAATTAAGTCTCTATATGAGGCATATGTGGTTAATATCGATTGAAGGAATGATCTAAACATATTTCAACTTGTCTATTTGTGAAAAGATTCAAAATGAGTTTGCTATCAGTACTATTTATGATAATAGCATCGAAACTCCTGATGAGTTTTCAAAAGCTGTGAATTACTTAAAGAAAAATTTTGAAATGAAAGTTTTGGAAATAACATATAGATAAGTCACATCCATTATGTGGATAAGTAACATCTATTATATGTTTCGGTAATTGCAAGATATTTAGATATGGACTAAAGATCAATTTAGACCTCCATAAAGTAATGAATAAACACTTGGTCTAGAAGCACCACATCTTAGTGCTACTAATCCATTTATATATCTATCTAGCCATATAGGATCTGATATATCATTTGTTGATTAGCATGATATACTTTTTTATCAACATGAAGATGTTAGAATGAAGTTAAAAATATTCTTTGTTATTTTAAAGGTGTTGTGGAGGTAATATTATTTTATTTGAAGGTACCCAAGACTAATCTTAATGGCTATATAGATCAAGTATTTTTGTTTGATCCTTATGTCAAGAAATCACAGTATGATCTATGTATGGGTAAATCATAAAAGGACTATTCGTCTCATAATTTTCAGAAGATTATGAAATTCATATTTAACATTTTTATCTCACTATAATATTTGAAAGGCTTGTTCGTTATATTAGACTTTGTAGGCTCGAAAATGTTAACTGATATTGCCAAGATGGGGAGTTGATACACGTTGTACTCTTTTTTCTTTCTTGTCTATGATTTTGTCCCACTGAGTTTTTCTAACAAGGTTTTTAATGAGATAGGATTACATAGTGTATCAATGAATGATGTACTCTCTTTTTTCGCTAGGTTTTTGTCCCACAGGGTTTTTCCCAATTAGAATTTTTTAACAAAGCACATTCATATACATTGGACATTCAAGGGGGAGTGTTATGAATATAATAATATCTTTGTGGATATCTATATATTTCCCATTATCTTCTATATCTCTTATAATGTCCAATATATCCCATTATCTCTATATCTCACAATTATCTCCTATTATTATGTAATTTGTAGATTCTATCAAAGGTGTAAAGTTGTGCCTACAAATAGAAGCCATATATACTGTATTTAGAACTCTTGAATAGAATGACAAATACTCTCTCTTGTTGACCATCTCTTCCTCTGTATGATTCTTTTTTATTTTTTTCTTTATTTATAACACTTAAGTTTTAATTGTATTTAAAAAAAAAAGGAGTACTTGACTCAAATTTTTTTTTAAAAAAGATACAGCTGGACAAAAAAAGGGGAGAGAATTACAATCAGGTTCCAAGCAAGGAAAACAATTGAAAAACAAATCCCAGAAATTGTCATTCTCACTATAGAACTTGTCATTATACGCTGTCAAAATTGTTATTAGAACTTTTTAGTAATTATTTCTCTTTATAAAATTTGATTGTAATTCTCCTAAAAAAGAGCGACAGAATCCTACTATTTTACCTGTTATTCGCTGCGCTTCTTTCTCTGCCATTGTTTAACGTTGTCACGTAAATAGGAAAGAGGTGGCTCGAGAGAATGGATGACCGAAAAAGTTTTTTTTCTTTTTTTTTTTAATTGTGAGGAGTAGCCTCGGGATGGGAAAAAAATTATTATTATTTTTCACTTGACGACCCAGATTTAAAAAATAGAATAAAATAAAAAAATACACACTCCGGGGCCCTGACTTCGCTCCTTTCTTCTCCTCGTTCATGCACTCTCCATTTCACGCCACAGCCGAAGCCACCCAAACTTCTCGTTGTTCTCCCCATAGCCGGCGATCTCCTCACTCCCTCTCACCCACCACCGTCTTCTCTCTCACCGTTTCGCCTGCGATAGTGCTGAGGAAGAAGACGCGACAGCGAGACGGCCGATAGTGTGGCTCTCTAAACTTAGACCTTCGATTTCACCGGTAACCATTTTGGATTTTGATTTTGCTGTTTTTTTATGCCTTCCATTTTTGCTTTTGTTTTTGCCCTCTTGCTTTTCATCCCTTCCTGTTAAATTTCTACTTTATTTTTATTCTGTGCATCTAAATCTGCTCGATCACCTCATCCAATTCCTTTTCCTTCCTGTAAATGGACAAAATTATCCTGCAATTTACGAAATTTGATGATTAAGCTGAACAACTGTGTTTTTGTTTGATTGTGGGTTCCATTGCTGATTTTATGGGCTTGATCTGAAGCTATTGTCGATTTGTGGGTTTGATTGAACTTTGGGTATATTATTGATGCACTTTGGCGCTAGTAAAATGAACTACAACCTAAATGATGGTTAGGGAAGATTTTAAAGTGAAGTTTTCTCCAGGATAGAACGTGTATTTTTTCTTGGAATATTTTTGAGAGAAATTGTCTCTCAACAAAATCAAAGAGAACCCTTGACAAAATTTTTCTACCATCAAATGCGCACTTCCTCTCTTATATTTTTCTCCTGGTTCATTTTTCTAGAGAAACTTCGAGAGAAAATCAAAATAACAGAAAGTCTAGGAGAAATTTGTAGAGAAGTTCTCTCAGATAATTTTATCCGAGAAAAGAATTCTAAAAAAACAATGCATTTATAAAAATTGCACATTATGATCCGTCTTTGATGGTGAGATCAGACCTCTTAATGTGTTGTTTGATGACTTCCCTGATCCCTTTTTTCACCTTATGCTTCCTTTTCCCTTTATCACAATATCCACTTCATGAAGAATATGCTTCGATTAAGAAACATATATTGTTGAATCCCAGATAAGAATCTCGTTATCTGCTCAACTTACCTCCTACGGTCATGGGTTCACATGGAAGAAGATCAGGAAAGCTTCTCTTTGATTCTTTTCGAAGTTGCTCTTGGAGGATTGTGCCGAAAACCCAAATTTTGCTACCCAATAAAAGATTTTCCCAGCATGAACACTTCTTATTGATGCCTGCATGGAATAGAGTGAAATTTCATATCGGGATTTCATCGCACAGTCTTGCATCACAGCGACTAGGATTACAAGGTAGAGCCAACAGGAACTTATGTAACCCATTTCTCAATGAGGCAAGGAGATTTTACTATGTTTATAATGTGCAGCAGCAGGATCAACGTAAGCCGCGACGTCTTAGAAGGTGGTTTCTTGTTGGTTTGTTGATTTATTCAGGGGTTTGTGCCAAGATATACTATGATCATTTAGAATCCGTTCCCTATCACAAACGGACTCGTTTAATTCTCATTTCTGAGTCTCAATTGAGGAGCAGTGGAGAGACGTATTTCAAGGGAAAGAGTGAGTCTTTTGGAGACAGAATATTGCCTGATGCACACCCTGAAAGCATTCGGGTAAGAAGGATAGCTCAGGATATAATTGATGCATGCGAGGCTGAGATTCAGCGCGGAGGGTCACAACTTAGTACTGCGAGGTCACATTTGGACGGATTGAAGTGGGAGGAGTTAGTGGTGAGTGGTTCTGGAGACGCCTTTCATGTGCCGTGTGATAAGACTGTGATGTTTGATGGGATGCCTGAGCATCTCAAAAGTGACGCAGAGGTAGCATTCCTCCTTGGACATGAGGTGAGTGTGTGTGTATAAAAGACAATACTTGGGGCAAGTTACTTATATTTGTGTTAAAGTGAGTCTGGTAAATCAAAGTATTTTGTTAGATGTGCTCAGCATCCTAAAGTGTTATGTGGTTTGAAGTATTTTTTTAAAATACATCCAGCACCTTTAAATATGTGTCTTGTGCCTTTAAATTGTTTGTCAGATACATTCAGCATCCTGTTTGATATTCATTCATTTAACGAACCTTTTGAGGAGTTAATGACGAAATTAAAAGTACTAATGAAATAATACTTTAAAAGCATAACTGCTTTTGAAAAATATTAATACTTCAAGAACAAAATTACATCATAAAATATTTTAGGATATTGTGACAAAATAATTCGGGGTGATGAATACACTTTAACCCTATATGTTATTATGTCCAAGTTTTCCAATTACAATTTTTAAAATATTATAATTAAGTTATAAATGTACATGAAAAAAAAGACACATGGCTATTTATGGTGGGAGAAGTTGACATAATCTGTATAAGGGATTTAATATGAGTAATGTTCACACACACATATAAATGGTGTTGTAGTTATTTGGCTCGTTATTAATTATGCATTTTTATATTTGGCATGGTACTTTGTTATAGATTGGGCATATTGTGGCAAGACATTATGCGGAAAACTTGACAACAGCGTATCGCTTTCGCATTATGAAGTCCATGCTCAATCCAATTGGCTTGTGGGATGCATTCATGAATAAATATGCTGCTCATGCCATCGCTACCTTTTGGAAGTAAGCTATATATCTTCACACTCAATTACTGATTAATTTACATCTTTTAATTGGCTCTATGGCTTTATTGGTAGGCTTGATGTGTTGAAACCAATGTTTTAAAAACCGGACCGGACATCGAACCGGAAAAGTCAGCGGGTCATGGTTCAAACGGTCAGATCAGTCGGACCGTTTGGTCAGACCAGTAATATAAAAATTAAATTAAAAATAATATTATGTATATATAATAAATATATAAAATTAAAATATCAAATTTTTAAATAGCATAAAAATAAATTTAAATAGTTTAACTTGATAATGATTTTGAGTTTTTTCATTCTGCTCCCATTTGATTGTTTCTGGCAAGCGTTGATTTTGGGCCTTCACTACACATTCTCATAAGTTAAATTAGACGCGCACACTAGGATGAGCAGTACACTACACGTGGATTATGCTGGACTAATCACAAGAAGAAAAGTTTAGAAAACATAAAATAAATCTTCACAGATAAGGACAAGGGTAGGGAGAAGAATCTAGAGACGGAAAAAAAAGGACCTTTTGCGGAGAGAGTGAGAGTGAGTTGCTGCATTCTTCCATTAGCTTCGCCATTATCTAAGACGTACAACTTTGGGCAAGGGGAGATTGGAAGTCACGATAGAGGGAAGAAGTGAAGCTTGCTCACTTGCTTGAGGATGAAGATTAACCAACGAACAACAATGACGGAGGAAAGGAAGCACAGAGAATTGAAGAAGACGTGGTATTTTAGCAAAAGTGTAAAATCATCCCAGAGGAATGACGAAATATATCAGATCTAAAGGTTTTTTTTTGCTAGAAAAGGTAAGCTCAAAACCGTCCAGTTTACTCAAATCCGCTCCGGTTCCGGGCTCAAATCCGGATTCCGGCTCAAAAGGCGGTTCGAAACGGCTGAATCCGGCTGAAAGCATAAGACGGCCTGAAGTATTTGAACCAACCGCTTGTATCACTGGGTGACGGTCAAACCAGTTGGACCATCTGGTCCGGTCCGGGTTTAATAACATTGGTTGAAACACAACCTTCACTCTTTAGTATAAGTACTATTTAGCGGTTGGATTTAGTCATAATTATAAAACCTAATTTTACTTTGTTTCCTAAATTTATAATTTCTTCCAAAAATGTTCCTATTTATTATATATATTAAGGAGGTTTCTATCAAAAGATATTTTCACTGCACATGATTAAAGATGGTACTTTAGGAAACTCAACATATATTTACTATAAATAACCAATTTATAATTATTTTTTTAATATTTACAGATCAGTTATCTAGCTTGTATTAAAAATTGGCGCTAGTGATAAAATTCTTATTCTAAGAATGTAGCATAGCCATTTTGTGATGCAATGTGATGTAGCTGTTTCAGGCAAGAGTATGAAGCAGATTACATTGGGATGTGTTTAAGTGCTTTGGCTGGATACGATCCTAGGGAAGGTCCGAACTTGTTGGAGAAAATAGACAAGCTTTGGACTCCCAACAGTGCTTATCCAAGTCCAAAAATGAGGGCACAATTTCTCTCATGTCGTGAAGTCATGGAGGAACCTCTTTCTCTATACTTACGAGGATGTATAAAGTAGGACTTTGAGGTTTACCTCCTTGTTTGTTTGTTTGGTTGGTTATTGGGAGGGTTTGGAATAAAGGGCTTTGGAGGGGATGACTATAATTTAAATTATTTAAATTATGTGATCAGAATAACTTCATTATTTGCTTCAAATTTCGTCATTCTCAGCCTCTAATTTCCACAAATATTGAAAACAATGGTGATGATGAACGATAGCAAAATTGTTTTTAGGCTAAAATCCCAAAAAGTTCCCTGAACTTTGGGTGTGTTGCACATCACTTCTCTAGCTTATAGAAGTTTAAAACTAAGACTCTAGAATTTTATATTTTGACTGTCAACTCTGTTACCGTTAAAGCTGTTGTTAAACCTGGAGTTTTATGTCACCTCACTTTTTTTTTTTAATTGAACAATATGCCATATCTCTAATAAATAACACTTGGCATTGACATGGAATTTTAAAATACTTAGGGTTATTATGTTATTTTCCCATTAAAATAGGTTTTCTTCTCCACTTTCCGATCGATTCTCAGTAACCAATGCGTTGTGGAAATCAATGATGGCGGCCTGAAGGAAGAAGACAAGAAAGAAAGGCATGTCTCATCTGAATTGGTTAAATTCTTTGGGCCTGTTCTTTACTTTTTGATATGAGTTTTGATACAAGTAAGACCCCGTGATCGAGTGCTGACGAGATTCTCCCTCGTTTCCTTTTCTCGATTATAGTTGATGCGCACGCACATACATATAAACACTTACAGGATGGTGCAATAGTAAAAAGGTCCTTTGAAATCAAGGGGCTTGTAAAGAAGCAAATCTTGTTGGCGAGAATAGTTCTCTTTGAAGTAAAAAAGAGGCGATGATTTCACCCAAAAAAAAAAAAGAGGCGATGAAGGAGAAAGTAGTGTACAATGTTTTTAAGATCCTCTTTGGCAAAGAGATAGAAATAACTTATAAGCACATTTCATGTAAGCCGAAACAAAATTTCTTTCATATGTTTATCTCGTATTCTGTAAATCATGATTGAAAAATTATTTATAAGCTATTTTAAATGGGCCTCAAGGCGTGGGCATGACTTTCTTTTATGCTTAATATGCCCTTACTTATTCTTATCTTATAAAGTGTAAGTTGGGTTGATTGATGAATTTTTTTCAGGATACAATGAAGACCTTTTAATATGAATTGCACTTTTAATATTCAAGTCAAAACAACAATGACTTTTACAAAGTGATAATTTGACTCTATTTCAAAATTTCATCTCAATGCCAAGTGTTATTTATTAGAGTGACATGGCATATTGTTCAAATTAAAAAAAAAAAAAAAGTGAGATGGCATGAAATCGTTAAATTTAACGGCAGCTTTAACGGTAACAGAGTTGATGATCAAAATATGAAACTTCATAATCTTAATTTTAAACTTCTATGACTTACGGAAGTAATGTGTAACACACCCAAGGTTCAAAGAGGTCTTTTGAATATTAGCCCTGCTTTTAAGGTACAAAGTTTCATGGCTTCTTAGGAAAAAAAAGAAAAGAAAAGAAAAGAAAAGAAAGAAAGAATATGCATGGAAGATTAACTTTTCTTATGCTAAAAAAATATGTATAAGAAATGGTGAATTCTAAACCCCTCTTTTTAAAATAAACGTGGAGAAAAATGAAATAGGCCATCTAACTATCTTTTAAGATGTGAAGACATACTATGATCATTGGGAAAGTACGCATTGTTGTTCAGGGCACATTGTTACATGACGCCGAGAATTTTAAGTCGCATTTTTTTCTTATAAGATTAAACTCACTCGTCTTGACCCAAAAAAAAAAAACTCACTCGTCAGTTTCCATACTTTTAATGAGTTTTTATTTTGATTTTTATATTTTTAACCAGTTTTGGTTTTGATCTTTATATTAAGTGACATTAATAATCAGTTCACATTAGCCTAATTTTTTTTTTGTTGACAAAATTTTAGGAAAGGAATCGGGCTCACCCACGATCTAAGGGCAGGGCACCTAACGCTTGATCCACTGGAGCCTGTCCTTATGGGGTACGGGAGCATGACAAGCAAGCCCTTTTTTTCTGGCCTAATAAGTAGGAATCACCCAGCTTCACTACGCTGTGGAGATGCCTCCCCCAGCGCTGCGACTGGAGCCACAACAAAGTAGCACTCCCCAGGGTTTTGATGAGAAAGTCCAACCCCTTCGCCAGCTGAACCCACGGATGAGGGGTCACATTAGCCTAATTTATGTAGCGATAACGCTACATTTCAGCGAAGTGAACACTGTCAGACTTAGATTTAAGTCCTTGTAAAATTACAAAGAACCAATGTTTTTTACCCCAAAATAGAGACTAAAAGCAATTATAGGAACCAACGTTCTTAGCACGTATATTTTTGTATTTGGTTGGCTGCTTGTGACATCTAATACATGTTGGTCTCAATTAGATATATAACAGATGAACGAAAATGTTGATAAACAAATTATAAAATTTGCAAAACAATTAATAATAAATTATTTTATGATTTTAATCGAAATCAACATAATTTTATTATTCATAACATAAAAGATCTTAACATCCCTAACTCATTATGAAAACTTCAAATTATTTTTTTACAAAAAAATTCAAATTAATTGACAGTAATTTAATTTTGAAGTTTGAAATCCGGGGTTTTTTATTAATTTCACTGCTTCGAATGTTAACATTACAGAAAAGATAAAATTAAACTTGTATATATAATTTAAGGAAAATTCATCTTCTAATCCATCAAATTTTAAATCACGTACTATTTCCTGTTTTAACTATAAGACCTTATTTATAAACTACAAACAGAATCTTATAAGTAGGAACAAAGGTAGTATAATTAACACAGTCTCTCAATTATAAACTCCAGGTGTACGCAAGAATTTCTCCCGTTGGTATGATACAAATAATATCTCTCTCCACAACCTTCTGCAACTACCATTTGAACGCATCTAACTAACTAACAAACACTTTCAGAATATGAACACGTGTCCACTTTAGCTATTTCTTGTCTTGCTATTTAACGAAACACTGCCTCGAAATAATCACATATTGTTCAATCTCAGACAACAATTTGGTGATCTGCTCAATCTACATTCTACGACAATCATGGGGTCTCGCGTAAGATCAGGAAAGCTTGTTTTTGATTCTTTTCGAAGCTGCTCTTCGAGGTTCATGCCCAACGCCCAAATTTTGATAACCAACAAAAGGATTTCCCAGTTTGAACAGTTACTGGTTCCTGCATGGAATAGAGCCAAGTTTCATATTAGGACTCCATCTTATCACTCTCTCGTATCGCAGAGAGCCAACAAGAACTTATTGTCTGATCCATTTCTCAATGAGGCTAGGAGATTTTACTATGTGGATCAGTACAATAATGTGCAGCAGCAACATATCGTAAGCCACGAGGTCTTATTAGACGGTGGTTTCTTGTTGGTGTCTTAATGATAGTAACATGTTGTTCAGGGCTTATTCTAAAGATATACTATGATCATTTGGAGATTGTTCCCTACCATAAAAGGACTCGTTTAATTCTGTTCTCCGAGTCAACGTTGAAGAAGATTAGAGAGCAGTATGTGAAGAAAAAGAAAGAGCGTTTTGAAGAGAGAGTATTGCCCCAGACACAAGCTGAAAGCATACGGGTAAGAAGGATAGCTCAGGACATAATTGATGCATACGAGGATGAGATTAACCGACAAGGGTCACAATTTAGTGCGACGTCACATTTGGATGGATTGAAGAAGTGGGAGGTGTTAGTGGTGAGTGGTCATGGAAATTCTGCCTTTACTGCTATAGCGAGTAGTGGGAAGATTGTGGTGTTTGATTGGATGTTTGAGCATGCCACAAGTGATGTAGAGATGGCATTCCTCATTGGAAGGGAGGTATGGATGTGTGTGTCTATATACACACACATATATATATGCATATTGTATGGTTGGTTCCTTACATACTCCTTCCCGTACTAAAGGTAGGAGCTAGTTAGGCGTTTTGCTCTAAGCCTAAATTTAAGACTTGAATTGGATCAGCTTTTTCTCCTAAATTCATCATTTTTTTGGGGGCAAAATAGCATCCAACATCGTAATCATTCTTTATGATGCATCTAACACTCTTATCTTATCTTTTTGGTAAATCTAGCACCCTAACCTTCTTGATGTAACTGAAAAATATAATAATATTAGAGTGAGATCAAAGAGCTAGATACATTATAAAATAGATCAGAGTACTGAATACACCTGTGAAATAAGATCGGGGTGTTGAATGCTGAGAAGTGAGGTCAAGGTACTGGAAGCACCTTTACTTTTTTTTTTTTTTTAATCTTTAAACTACTCTTATTGATACTGATTGCACATATTAATATTACATCTAATACATGTTATGGTCTTTTAGATTGGGCATATTGTGGCTCGACATACTGCTGAAAACCTGACAAGAGCTTATGGCTTCAAGATTCTAGAGTCCATACTCAATCCAATTGGCTTGTGGGATGCATTCAAGGATCATTTTGCTAAACGTACCATCAACATGCGTATCTTTTGGATGTAAGCTACACACACACACACACTCTCAATTACTAATTAATTGTGAACATCACTTATTAATTGGCTCTATATGTGACTCTATTAAGCTCCTTGTTTATATATTGGTAGGTTTTATGTGTGTTGAAATAAAATTGTGATTCTAACCAAGAACATGATATATATATATATATATATAGCCTAATTAATTTCATCACAACATTGCAGGCAACAATTAGAAGCAGATTACATTGGGATGCGATTAAGTGCTTTAGCTGGATATGACCCCAGGGAGGCCCCGAAATTGTTGGAGAAGACGGACAAGTCGTGGGACGACAACAATATTTCCCACCCACCTCCAAAACTAAGGGCAGAATATCTGTCATATCCTAAGATCATGAACGAACCTCTTTCTATATACTTACGAGGATGTCAAAGTAGAAGTTGAGGTTTATTACAAACTTGTTTGCTTAATTCGTTTGGTTGGGAGGCTTTTACTGGAAGGCATGGCTACATTTTAAATTTTTAATTATCATGTCAAAAAATTATCCTTATTAGTATTTCCTTCAAATTTCATCATGTTCTCAGCCTTGTTTCTACAAATTAAATATTCAAAACAATGATGATTATATGATGATTTTGACATAATGTTTTCTTAAGAAAATAAAATAAAAAGGCTAAATTATATGAACACCCCCTAACCGGATCATTTTATTTTCATCTCTTACTGATTTCTTGTGATTGCATAAGCACTCTTATAAACATCACTTCAGAATATAGAATTAATACACGAGGTTTTTGCTTAAACCCTCTTATAAATAATACGATAATACTACCTCCGGTCCTAATTATAAAAGCCAGTTGACTAATTTGAGGAGATTAAAGAAATAAGTTGAGTTAGTTATTTGTCCTAAATATGTGTTGTCTTTCCTAAAATATCCTTACTAATCAAGTGTATTGACTAGAACTATTATTATTAGAAAGGCTACTTTGGAAAAAAAATGTATAAATATAAGAGACAAAGTGGATTGGGGTTTTATATTTAGGACCAAAATAAAAGTCAAATAGGGTCTTATATTAAGGAATGGAGGTAGTATCAGATTCAGAAAAAATATTAAAAAAAAATCCTCAATCAAACTAAGCATCACAATTATAACGACAATTACAGACCAATAAGCCTGATTGAAGCCAAGTGCACTTTGACATTTCAATACCGATGTTCATGGCACATATTCCAATAACAGTTCTTCCTACTTCAAATAAAGAGCTAATTTGTCACAAATTCCAATGTTTTGTTAACCCAAAATAGAGACTAAAAACAATTACCAGTACATATTTTTGTATATGGTTGGCTGCTTGCGACATTTGATGCATGATGGTGTCAATTAGAACAATAGATGAACGAAGATGTTGATAAAAAAAATTATAAAATTTGGAAAACAACTAATAATAAATTATTTTTATGATTTTAATCAAGATCAAAATAATTTTATTATTCATAATATAAAAGATCGTAACATCCATAACTTATTATGAAAATTTCAAATTATTTTTTTGATAAAAAATTCAAATTAATGACACTAATTTAATTTTAAATGTGAAATCCCTAGTTTTTTTTAATTGATTTGACTGCTTCTATTTTTAACAGTAAAAAAAGATAAAATTAAGCTTGTATATAAAATTTAGAGAAAATTTATCTTTTTACTCTATCAAATTTTAAATCACTTATAATTAACACACTCTCTCAATTATGACTCATTGCAACTCATTCCTTAAATTTTTAACTCGCTCGTAACTCAATTTCAGAATTATACCAAGTATATCTCTTTCCACAACCTTCTGCAACTACCATATGAATGCATCTAACCAACTAACAATCACTTTCAGAATATGAACACGTGTCCACTTTAGCTATTTCTTCGTCTTGCTCGTTACTGAAGGAACGTTACCTCCGAATAATCACATATTGTTCAATCTCAGATAACAATTTGGTGATCTGCTCAATCGACTTTCTACGACAATCGCGGGGTCTAACGTAAGATCAGGAAAGCTTGTTTTTTATTTATTTCGAAGTTGCTCGTCGAGGTTCATGCCCAATGCCCAAATTTTGATACCCAACAACAAGATTTCCCAGTTGGAACAATTACTGGTACCTGCATGGAATAGAGCTAAGTTTCATATTGGGATTCCATCGCTGAGAGCCAAAAAGAACTTATTTTCTAATCCATTTCTCAATGAGGCTAGGAGATTTTACTATGTGGATCAGTACAACAATGTGCAGCAGCAACATCGTAAGCCACGAGGTCTTATTAGACGGTGGTTTCTTGTTGGTGGCTTGATGATAGCAACATGTTGTTCAGGGTTTATTCCAAAAGTATACTAGCTCCTGTCCTAAATATAAGACTTCGTTTGATTTTTATTTTTGTTTTCAATATAAAACCCCAATCTATTTTGTCTCTCATGTTTATCTGTTTTTATTTAAGGTAATCCTTCCAATAATGATAATTCTAGTCAATATACTTTATTAACAAGGATATTTTAGGAAAGACAACACTTATATTATAAATAACTAAATTTATTTTTTTAATCATTTCAAATTAGTCAACTAACTTTTATATTTAGCACTGACAGTATATAATGATTTGGAAATTGTTCCCTATCATAAAAAACTCGTTTAATTATTTTCTCCGAGTCAACATTGAAGAAGATTACAGAGCTGTATGTGAAGAAAAAGAAAGAGCCTTTTGAAGAGAGAATAGTAGTGCCCCAGACACAAGCTGAAAGCATACGGGTGAGAAGGATGGCTCAGGACATAATTGATGCATACGAGGATGAGATTAACCGACAACGGTCACATTTTAGTATGACGTCACATTTGGATGGATTGAAGAAGTGGGAGGTGTTAGTGGTGAGTGGTCATGGAAATTCTGCCTTTACTGCTATAGCAAGTAGTGGGAAGATTTTGGTGTTTGATTAACAAGAATTGTAAGCATCTATGTTCCTGTGTGCCCATCTCCAGAAAAAGTTATTCTCTTAGTTAACCTTCCTTTCCCTGCATATATCATCAGAGACACGCGCGGATGTTGCTTCTGAGAAAATTTAAAAGGAAAACTGAAAGGCAAAACCAAAAGGATATCTTAAAACTCCCTTTCCTTCACCACTGTAGACGTTTGGGTTTCAAAACGGAAAACTCTTTACCGGAAAAGTATAAGGCATGGATGAGCAACATATGAAATCCAAAGCACTTTCTTGAGAAGAAGATAAAAAGTGAGGTTATGGAGGTAGCGGACGACGGACCAGCCGAAGGAAGAATGGAGCAGAGGAAGGAAGAGACTATTTCAGAAGAACATGTCGTTTGGAAATTTGAATTGGTGTGAAGCGATTAGGACGACAAAAATTTGAATTGTCAGATAAAGCGAAGGTGATCCTGTTCTTCTTCATTCTGCTTTTCACTCCTGCTATTTGGGGCTATTCTCCCTGCTTCTTTCTTAGCCATTTTTTAATGTCCCGAAATTAGAAAAGATGCTGTTAGAAAGAATGGAGAGTTTTTTCCCAATCGGGATAGAGATAGGGGTCAGGGAAGGGAAGGGAAAAGTTGAAGAGATAAAGAGAGGCATGTGGAATATTTAATTTAAAAGAGATCAGAAGAGTAACACTCTAACATCTTCATCGCTGAGCATTTCTTTGGCTCCTCCATTTTAGCATTCTCCTCCATCGTATTGAACCCTAGGCGTGAGACATCTTAGAGATATCATCAAACGCCTAACTTCCTAACTCATCTACCCCCGAATTTCGAGTTCTCCTCACCTTTGCCGTCGTGGTCCTCAGTCTATGCGTCGTGTAGCTCGGCCATTCCCTCAGTTCGTGGTGGTCGACTGCTCGTCGCCGTTTCCACTGTGTGTAGCTCGGCTGCGTCTCAGTTCGTGGTGATCCATGTGGATTCTTTCATTCTGGATTTTCGGTAGGCTCTCCCCACCCCAATCCCTCCCCCCCCCCCCCGGGGCGGGAGTCGGTGGATATATAGATTTCTCTTTATATTGCGCTAGTTTAATTCAGTAATGTATGTGTTCTAGCTTTTATTTTGGTCTTTTGCTTCTACCAAGTTGATATAGCTCTTCCTGGGGCAGAACAGATGTGAAAAAGGGAGAGAGCGCGTTTTAGTAGAACTTGTTAGGTTTTGATGAACTCCCATGCTATGTTGTATGTTTTTGAATTATTAAATCATATTTTTTACCAGACGAAGGAATTCGTATTTTTAATGCCCCAAGTTGCTGTTCTTTTGGTGGCTATACAAGTATTGGAGTGGGTTTTATATCTGTTAAATCCGCCTGTCCCAAACAGTACACAATTTTGAGATTTTAAAGCCAAAATATACCGTGGAACCTCTAACAGAACCTATTTAAGTATATGGAAGGATGGATATCTACAAGTGAGCATTTAGCATCAATTAATAATCTATGGTGATTCATTTTTTTTTTTAAAAAAAAAAAATCCCATTCACGCCGTAACTGATAAATACTAACCTCAAAACTTTTCTGATTCTTTCTGATCTTCAGAAATTGGAGATTGTCTTTTTTGTTCTTTCCCCTTATTTCTCGCAAGAAATCTCTTTGGACCATTTCTTCAATTTGTTTCAAATTTCTTATGTTCTTTTGTAGATACACGATGGAAATCAGCGTAAATCTATTTTCTTCTTCAGGTACATGCTTGCAAAAGGTCCTGGCATGGTTTTATCTATTCGCTTATTTGGAATCTGGCCTAAATATTCATTTCTTTGTATATTGATCTGTAGACTTTTAAACTGTACTTATTTTCAAACAGCTACACTACTCTGCATTAATATAGAGAAGTTCAAAATACAAATGTGGAGATAGAGCTATCTGAGAGCACACTTCGTCAGTGTGGGTGTGGAAGTGGGATTGTACCCTTATATGTGCATTTATGTTCTTTTACTACTTTCAGCTTGCGATGTGCTTTGGCCACTAGAAAGGAAACGGCAGAGGTTATTCTTCCTATTGGGATTGGCAC